CCCTTCACAGACCACCCACGACCACCTGCCCACAGGGCTGGCATGCGGGCCAGGCTGGGCCCTGCAGTCAGGGCTGGATTCGCTATGCGTTTCTCTCTGAGGGCAGACCCTCAGGGAGCCCAGCAGACTGGCACCCAGAGCACAGGGAGGACCTCCTCTCCCTCCTGTCCTGGTGTGTGGACAGTCATGCCCTGTCCCTTGTGCCCTGCTGGCTGCACGTGCCGAGGTCATGGGCTGGCAGAACCTGTGGTCTGGGTCCTCTCGCATGGAAGGACCCCTTAGCTGAGGGATCCCTGAGTCTTGGTCATGAGTCCTGGTCCTGAGGCTCAGCTAGTTCTCAGCTCAGGTGCCTTCACAGCGTCCCCCTCAAGGGGCTGCCTGGATGCCGGGGTCCATGGAGGCTGGGGGAGACTCTGTGAAAGCAGACTCCACAGCTCCCTCCACCTAACACCACACAGCCCAGCCTCCGGGCGTGGCCGCTCCCTTGGTGGAGGGGGGACCATCTGCTCAGAGGCCTAATGAGAAGGGAGCGGCCCCTCGGTCCTGGAGTCTGTGTTAATCCTCTCAGGCTTCTGTAACAGAATACCACAGGCTGAGCGCCTGAAACAAGAAGTTGACTGTCTCACAGTTCTGGAGGCTGGAAGTCCCAGATCAAGGTGTCAGCAGGGCCAGAGTAGACAAAGCAAAGACACACACACACACACACACACACACACACAGGCCCTTGTTTTGGGGAGTGGGCTGAGGAGGCACCCCCTTTCCCACTGGAGGCTGCCGAGGATGCGCCCATCACCCCATTGTCTTGTGTCTCCCATTGTGGCACGGGGGGAGACCAAGGCACTGAGTTCCAGCTCTGCACCCCTGACTGCTAGACCCTGGGCCAGTCACTCCTCAGGAGATGCAATGTGCTGGTCAGCGGTCGTGGAGATGTTGTGAGGCTAACAGATGCCGGGGTTTTACACATGGTTTGCTCACCATCTCCTCCGCGTTAGAGTGAAGGAAATGAAACCTTGGGGACTCCAAATGCCTCGCCTGTGGCACAACCGGTTTAGACTGGGACCTCGGCATGGCCTCTGGCTTAGTGGTCCAGGCTCCACAGGGCTTCCTGCTCCCATCTCCTCCTGAGAACAGTCTCTGGCTCAGGACTGGGCAGAAAAAGGACCAGAGGAGGGCAGTCCTGCCTTGGAACAGGGTACTGGCTGGTGGCTTGCCTTTTTTTTTTTTTTTTTGCTTTTAAGGCAATGGGGCATTTCTGGGCACAGGAGCCACCTAGAAACCTCAGAGCCAACACCACCATGAGTTGTTGAGTCAGGACACACCTCTGGAACATGGGTCCCCTTGCAGGAGCCTAGACATTCATTCAACGTCCCTCTGTCACTCAGCAGCTGACTTGCCATCCTGAGCAGCTGTGGCTGCAAGTGGAAATCTGTTACTACTTTGAGCATCAGGCGATAAAGAAGAGCTCTGAGGGTTCTGACCTAGAACCCACGCCACATGCCTCAGACCTCACTGAGAGGGCCCTTGGCTGCGGCTGCTACGCTGGAGGTGGGAGCCCACGCCCTCTGCCTTTGCCGCAGTCCAGAATGAAATCCCTGCACTGACTGCAGTAGGCCCAGTTCCTGGGCACGTGCAGGGGAGGAGTGGAGGCGACATGAAGAGTGCAGGCTGGAATCAAAGGACCTCCTCTAGCTCTGTCTTCGCAACACCTACTTGAGCCTGCAATCTCACGCCTGGGGTTTGGAGGATTGGATGAGATGATGGATGTAAACTCCGTGAGGGCTGACTTCTCATGTGGAACAGGGGCCCCCCATGCTAGGTGGCTGAACGAATGTGCAGTGTGGTGCCCGGCACGCCATAAGCGTTAGCTCCATCCCACACTTCGCTTCATTGCACTTTGCAGATACTGACTTTTCACCAACATTGACCCAGACCCTCCAGCAGCAAAAAACTGTGGTGCTCTGAAGCTCAGATGATCATTAGCATTTTTAAGCAATAAAGTATTTTTTAAAATATGTCTTCATTTATTTTAGAGCGGCGGTTCTAAACCTGTGGGTCGCGACCCCTTTGGGGGTCGAACGACCCCTTTCACAGGGGTCGCCTAAGACCATCAGAAAATACATATATAATTACATATTGTTTTTGTGATTAATTGCTATGCTTTAATTATGTTCAATTTGTAACAATGAAATTGGGGGTCACCACAACATGAGGAACTGTATTAAAGGGTTGCGGCATTAGGAAGGTTGAGAACCACTGTTTTAGAGAGAAAGGAAAGGGAGAGGGAGAGAGAGAAACATTGATGAAGACATCAGTTGGTGCCTCCTGCACACCCACAACCCCAGCATGTGACCTAACCTGGGATTCAACCAGTGACCTCTTGGTGCATGGGCCCACACTCAACCACTGAGCCACACCAGCCAGGCACAATAAAGCATTTTTAAATTAAGGTATGCACTGTTTTTTTAGACCTATTACATTACTTATACTTAATAGATGACAGTATAGTTTAAACATAATTTTTATATACACTGGGACACCAAATATTTCCGTGAATCACTTTATTGCGATACTGTATTTGCTTTATTGCAACATTCACTTGATTGCGGTATTCGCCTTACAGTGGTGGCTGGGACTGGACCTGAAATGTCTCTGAGGCTGCCTGTACGTGCCGTGGACGGGAGAGGGCAGATGGCTCTGCTGGTAGCTGCTAAGCGCTATTTCAGTGATCATGGCCAGAGTGGAGACTGGCGAGCTCCTGGCGTGGGGACAGAGGACACAAGGTGCCCACTGAGGGGTCTGGGTGGGTAAAGCCTGTCGTGTGGGCATTTCGAGGCCGCCAGATGCTCTTTGAGTTCACTCACTAGCTTCGGTGTGGAAGAGGTTCCTTTTCCATGTTCTGATGCTGGACCACCACTGGCCAGGGGTGAGCTGTGCTGACGGCTTCTAGGGCTGACAAGCCAGAGGGCACAGCTCAGGGATCAGTGTATCAGGGTCCCCCTCAGCAGGGAGGGAGGCAGCAGGGGACACACATGCGAATGGCCGTGGAGCCCACAAGGCCCCTGCCCACCCCCGAGGCTGCAGCTGGTCACAGAATTTATTGCTATGACAACCTCAGCTCCAGGATGTAGCTGCAACCTCAGCTGCACCTTCTGGACCCTCACGAGAGACCAGGCTTAGTGGGCCTGGCACCAAAAGACACGCTCAGGTGTCTAATGCAGTCGCTGTGACGGGACCAGCTCTGCAGAAGGTATCTGTGTCCTCAGTCAGGCGTTCTGCTGCTCTGGGCTTAGTGTCCTATGTGAGGATGGGAGCTGTGGCTGCTCTCCGGGACCCGGCTGAGGTCTGCAGTTCACGCTCTGCCTTCTCCACCCTCAACAATCCTCAGAGCAGCTGTCATCTGCTGCTGCTCTGTAGGTTCTGGGTTCCCTGCCCAGTGCAGCCCCTGCGATGTCCCACTCTGTCCTCACCCCATGCTGGGCAGGCGTGGCCATCGTCCCCACACACAGAGGAGGGGCTGAGCGACCACGGGGGACCCCAGTGATGCTGCTGCCCACCCTGCTCTGCTTGAGGAGTTGGATGTCCTTGGGCTGCAAAGTGATGGATTAAATGACCTTTCTCATGTTTTTCATTTTCATTACTGACTGTCCTGTGGGGATGACATGAAAAAGTCAAGAGCTGGGTGTTCCTTGGGCTCGCTTTGGGCATGAGTGCCGGGCGCAGCCCTAGAAGCACCCTCGCGCACCGAGACAGGAGTCCTGAATGGGAGGCCGCCACGCGGGGGTGCTCCTGCTCAGGTCCCTGCTTCTTCAGGCTCAGTTCCTCAGCTGTGAAACAGACCACAGTTGGTTCTACAGCATGGAGTGTTGAGAGGAACGCCCCGGAAAGCCCCCGGTGAACTCCCCGGTGTTAGCCTGCCCTGCCCCGGCATCCCGGCTGGCACAAGCATAGTCTTTGGTCCTGGATGTCACCCTGGCTCATTCTGTTAGAGAATACGAACACAAGCCTACCTGGCTTTGGACACAGAGGTCTCCGGAGACGCAGCCACAGCTGGGTCAGGGATGGCCGGCCACGCCAGCAAAGGCTGCGGAAGAAGAGACATGAATGACCCTGGTTCCCACGCAGACCCGCCCACTCGAGGAGCTGCGTCCGGTGGGCCCCAAACGGTTTGGATCCAGGCTTGGGTGTGGGACTTGGGGTACGGCTGCCCTAATTCCCATGACAACCCAAGGGAAAAGCCCGAGTGGAGATCACCCGAAATGACATTCAGGCCCATTCCTTCCCTTTGGAAGCAGCTGCCGCCCCCACACCGCTGGCTGCTAATGGCCACCCCTCATCAAATATTTATGCAGCCCTCGCGGCTCCTGCACAGGCCAGGGAGGGAGCCGATGATTAGAACTGCTCAGGAGTGGGGCAGGAGGACTACAAAGTGTCTGGGCCAGAAAGGGAAACATCAAAGCCCACATCCTTCCATAAAGGTCGCTCCCGGAAGCGGAGGCCTCCCGTGAGGAAATGAAACTTTCAGGGGGGCGAGGACAGGCCTGTGTGGGCCTGCAGGCCGCTGGGCGCGCTCCTGTCTTTCCTCGCTGGTGGCAGAGGCAGCTAAGCTCAGCCAGGGCCAGAGGCCTGACTCCAAGCCCCGGGTTATGAAAAGCATGTGAATATGTCGCCGGCTCAGAGCTGTGACCCCCTCACTTTCGAGGGGGGCCTGGCATTTCATCAGTGCCCTGCCTGAGGCCTGCCCTTTGTGAGAAGAAAAGGGAGAGAAGGAAGAAAGGAATGGAAGCTGATTCAGAAAAGCTCCCAGTGCCCAGAGTCCTGATGTCCTCTGGCTCCGCCGTTACCTGGGGGAGCCCGTCCGCAAGACTTCCTCCTGGTGTTGGCAGGCAACGGAGCCCAGGCCCAGGCACCGCAGCGCACGGCCTCGCCTTCCCGAAGGAAAGGAGCCGCTCTCACTCTGCTCCTTTCTCGCCTCTCCCAAAACAAAAGACAAACGCAGTGTCAACAGTTTTTCAGGAGCGATCCTTTATTGTCGGAGAGTCCTAAAACCGACGCTTTTATCAAAACAATATCCTTTTTTTTCTTCAGTGAATCCGAGAGACCTGAGGGCCGTATCCTCGGTGCGGCTGCGCCATCAAAACCTGCCCTCCACGGCCAGCAGCTGCACCGCGGCCTCCTGCACGGCCTGGTGGATGCGAGTCACCTCCCTCTGGGACAGAGTCCGCTCCATGTGGCGGTAGGTGATGCGGTAGCAGTGGCTGGTCTTGTGTGTCCTAGAGAATAAAAGAGAAAGGCGGTGAGTGAAGGGCACGCATGCTTGCCGCCTGCAGGAGAAGTACCACCAGCTCTGACCGGACCTCCCAACCCCAGGAGAACGGGAGGAGCTGCGGGACTCCTGCTGGCAGCTGCTTCTCTTATAGCCACCGGGAAGGCGGTGGGTAGGGCATCCTTGGCCCCATCGGACCAGGCGCATCCAAAACCCCTGGGAGGAAGCTGCTTATGAGTGTGATCCTGGACCAAGTCCTGGAGACCGTGGCTCAGTGGGTGGGAGGTGGCCCTGAGCTCGCGGGTGCGACTCTGAGAGCAGACAGGGTCAGGGACCAGTGCCAGCGCCCCTCCACCTTCCTCATGTCCGAGGAAATGGCCATGTTGGAAGGCCCACTGCAGTCATCTGGAGGCCCAAGACCGGCCCCAGGGGCTCGGCCTGCCCGGAGAGCCAGGGTGTGCCATAGTAACTCTGTCAGCAGCCCTGCGGGCCGTGGGAAGCACAGACAATGTGCCATATAGACTGTGTGTCATCTCTGTGCCACGCAGACAACCACTCTAATCCTCTGCTTCTGCCAGGGGTGGGGAGTTGATTTTCACGGACCAGCCGGTGGTTCCGGGCGGGTAGACATGGTGGCAGCAATGCCTTCTGCTTGCACCACAGCTGCTGGGCACCAGCACGATCTCGCAGGGAGAGCTCGCCACCAGCCGGCAGAGTGCCTGTCCCGGGGGCCTCCTCCTGGCCATGCGGCTGGGGGTCTGAGCTGCCCTCTTCTTTTGAGCCACACGCATTCCTCTTTCACAGTCCCAGCTGCAGGCGAGCCAGTCCACGCCCTTCCTCACTGCAGATGGAGCAGCCCAGCCGGGCAGGCCCGTTCTCTCTGGCAGGCAGGGGAGGCGTGCTGGGCTTCCAATAATGCCGGACCCTGGTGGGTTCCCTCCCGGCCCCTGGAAGACCCGCAGGTCCACTTCGCTGCCACCTGGGTCCAGAGCCTTTGCTGCCAGAGGACTCCTGGCATTCACAGGTCTGCTCTCTGGGGCTCTCCCCTCCTTCCTCTCCTGCCCGTTTTCGTGCCAGGCCCCTTGGCTGAGTGGAATACACCAGATCAAGGAGGGCTGAGCCTTCCCATTTGTTCCTTTGCCTCCTCTAGTGTTTCCTGGAGGGAGGAGGCCCTGTAACTGTAAGGCTGGAGGATGCTTCCCTCAGGGCAGGGTCCTGCGTGCCAGCTGGGCACACGGCAGGACTCCTCCACCAGCTGGGCCAGAGCATTTCCTGCTCAGCCCCTGTCATTGGGAACCATGCTGGACCCACACGGCAGCTGCTGGGAGTTTGCAGCATCCCAGCGCTCCTGTCCGGGCTGCTCCATGTCCGGCCACCTCACCCGCCCGAGTCTCAGTGTCTTCTCCAATGACAGAGACAACAGCACTTACCCACCGGCCTTCCCAGACGGGGCAGAGACCTGGCTAGACAGGGACCGCACGTTATAAAGTGCCATACGAGTGCGGGGTGCCACTGTGGCAACTGTATTTTTTCACTGGCTCACCCTGAGCTGAAACGTTGGTAATAGGGCACCTACGAGTTGAGATTTCCAGCCAAAGAAGAAAGGGGAGCAAAGTATCTTCTTGTTTCTATGTCTTTCAAGGAAGACTTCTGAAAGGATTCTTGGGGTTCAAACAGCTTTTACAAAACTGTTGGATGAGTTAGATGTACATGAATCATAAGTGTAAGGATTAATTTTATAAGTTGAGAGGATAGTATTTGGCAGAATATTTGGTGATAATTCAGAAGATTAGACTGAAAAGCAACCAGGTGTGCCTTTTCTGAACATCACTGAAAAGAGAGAAAGAGACTTCCTTTTCTTGCTTTCTAGAAGTTTCTGTATGGAGCTTTCCTGTGGTGGGCCGTGCTCCTGTCCTTTTGCTGGCTGGAGAGCTGCAGGGGGTGAGCTGGCAGCTGGCCGCTAGGGGGACCGGGACTCCCTGTTCTGAGCAGTGAGTGGTCTGCCCATGAAGACCACGGGGCCATGAGCTGAGGGACAGTGCTCATCACTGAACAAGAAGATGGATTCCTCAACAGGAGGGAAGTCCTCCATGCCCAGCCCCACCTGTCTGGATTAGGGCTCGATTAATTCTTCTTATATCACCTGTGCAGCCTCTTTTAGGCCCAAAGATTCTCAATCTTTCATCCGCCATGACCCTCATCCTCATTGTCCCTCAATAATAGTAGCAGCAGCAATATATGTAGCTTGTTACATACCAGGCACTGCTCTATGCTCTTTGCAAGTGTCGACTCATTTAAGCTTCACAACTCCATTGGGTAAATAACATTATTGTTCCTATGAAACAGATGAGGAAACTGAGGCACAGAGAGCAGAAGTCACCTGCTCAAGGTCATGCATCTGGTAAGTGGCAGGGCTGGATTCCCAACGAGGCCATCTGGTGGGGATGTGTAATGGTGCAGCCACTGTGGGACACCGTTTGGTGGGGCCTCGAAAAGTTAAATGTAGAGTTACCAGGTGACCCTGAAATTCCACTCCTGGGAACATACCCAGGAGAACTGAAAGTAGGTGTTCAAGTAAACACTTGGACAAGAATTCTCATAGCAGCACTGCTCACGACAGTCAAAAGGAGGAGGCGTCCACCAGGGGTGAGTGGGCAGACAGCGAGGCTCATCTGCACGGGGGGTGTACAACGCAATGCCTCGTCACTGAGCGGAGGAAGTGCTGCCCAAGCTTCAAGATGCACGAACCTCAACACATGCCAAGTGAACCAAGCCAGACGCAGCCCACCACACACTGTAAAACCCCATTTGTATGACATGTCCAGAACAGGGAATCCATGGAAATAGGAAGGAAATTGGTGATTGCCATGGGTCGGGGGAGAACTGTTTAATGGCACAGGGTTTTCTTCGGGGGTGATGAAATGTTTTGGAACTAGATGGATGTGGTAATTGCACAACATTGTGAATGTACTAAATGCCACTGAATTGTGCACTTTAATTTTATGCGAATTTTACCTCAATTAATAAAGCTAGAGGATTTTGTTTCAGAGCCCAACTATCAACTCTGACACTGGACTGCTCCACCACATTCCTCATCTGTTCCCTTTCTGAGCTCTGACCTCTTCCTCTACCCCAACCTCCCCAGGAGGTGGTAAGGTTTGCAAACGATTGTTCTGTTCAAGGAGATGAACCGAGGCCGGGTTCCCCTCCAGCTCTGCCCTTTGGCTAACGGAGAGGGCACAAGCTGGAGAGAGGGCATCACTGGGACACGGGGTGGGAAGCGCCTGAAGCGGGTGCATTAACGAGGTGGGTCCTGCTACAGGGCCACTAGAAGGTGGCTGGGAAGCCACAGCTGCGTGAACGGAGACCCACCTGCCACAGCCCTCAGGGGCCACAGCCTTCAGGACAAGAAACCTTCCCTGAAGGAGATAACAGTCTGCATGACAATCTGGGTTTTTTAAAGGCAAATTAAAGTTGTGTTTTTAATGTACTTCACAGCTTCTGCTCATAGGCAAAGTAAATAAGAAGCCATGCTGAGTGTGAGAGGTCAAACTTCAGTATAATGAGTTTGAAGAGAGTCTAAACTTTTTTGTGTGTGAGTTGGAATTTCATTACTTTGAGATACTGGCTAAAACGAGTTGGTCAGTGGCAAGAGCTTGAATTTTTAACAGAGATTTTAGCGTGAGAATCTTAGAATGTTTGAGCTTCCAGGCCTTCAGTTAGCACTAGTTCACTCACAGATTCATTTAGTCATTCAGCAAACAGCAGGCTCCAGGCACTGCACTGGGCACTCAGGACTCAGAGTGCGTGCCGGCGCCGGGGCAGCACCCAGGGAGGACAGGTGTGGGCCTGCACACCACACCACAGTGGCCCACAGGGAAGCCAGAGCGCCCACCCAGCCTCCCGTACCCGAGGTTTGCTCCTTTAGCAAATGACTTTCCCTCGGTGCTTCCCCATAAGCATTACCTGGTGCGGTTTGTCTAGCACAGGACGGGAGCTACAGAGCCTGCCAAAGGGAGTCAGCCCATGCTGCCCATCAGAGGCTCACTCACCTCCAGTGAGGAGAACACAGCGCAGGACAGCCCACGCTCGCCCCCGACCAAGCAGCAGGGTATGAGTGACGCACAGCGCACGGCCCTGCCACCCCCACCTCTTCTGCTCCCGTTGGCCTAACATGAGCTCTCATTTGAGATTCAGCTTGGCTCACGAAACTGGAAACATGACTCACACTCCTGAAATTTACTTCCGCTTGGATCCCGTTCCCTGCTGCGCTGTGATCATCAATGTCCACCGGACTCCACCGTCCTGCGCATGCCCAGCTGCTCCCTCAGCGAGGGGAGCCAGGGCCGAGGGGCGGCCGGGGTAGGATGGAGGGTGGGCTGGGCAGCAGGCAGGCATTCTGCATTTTAATGCCTCTCCTTCCACAGCCCTAGCCTTAGAGCCAAAGAAAAAGATGCTTAAGTGCAGCCCATAGTTAAGTCTGGGTTAGCACAGGACCGCCAACATTTTAGATGTTTAAAGGGAAGCTGCCCCAGGTCTATCCTTTTTTCCTGAGCAACGAAGTGATGAACTTAACAAGTTTCACAAGTACAGCTGCTCTCCAGTCCTCAGTGTGCCAACCAGAGACTTCCCGGAAGGACTCGGGGCTTGGAAGTGTCACTGGAGAGAAGGAACAGGGGAGAGTGCTAGGAGGGCTACAGTACTTTTCACACAACCACTTGGTTCACTCGGCAACCACACAGCTCTGACCTCGAAATAAAACCGTCCATGGGAGGCAGCCACACCAGCTCCTGCACCATTTATGAGGGTCAGCTTTCCCATCTGTGGCAAGAGCAGCAACTTCACATTCTTGGGGGGCACTGGCACCTCCCAGAGCAGATGGTCCACAACCAGCAGTCCCTGCAGTCACCACCTACTCATGTGGGGACTCCTTGGCCGGAGAAAGTGCTCAGAGTCCTGAGGATGGGATGCCCTGACTCTCTCCTGTGCCCTGACTGTCTCCTGTCA